GCCTTCGTTGCTAGCGATTGTCATTGAATCATAGATAGGCGTTCTAAGGAAAGATTTTGGCTTGGGATCGGCAAACTTCTTCAAATATGTGTAGAATTTGTTTATCTCATTCCCATTCTTAATCACGTCATCAATCAGCTTGCCATAATAGACCTTGTTGTGCTGTTCCGCTGGATTTATATCGAAAATTGTCATCTTCTCTTCGACGATGCCAATCAAGTTGTTAGAAGCGCCAATAAATTCAGTGATGTTGCCATGTACTTCTTCTTCACGGTAAAGGTTTCGACTAGATTGCACGGAATCGGTGATTGGAGACTTCATTCACTCAAGACAGTTACGGAACGAGCGCTTGTCGCCAGCAATTTCCTAAAACCAGCACCATTTTTTATGACGAAGTTGCGGCGATCCACGCTCTCCAAAGACATTGGTGAGATGCTGAGTCATCTGAGTATTTGCCGTTCCCAGTAGACCCGTGAGGAGCTTGAAGAAGTTCGACTTGCCAATCGGCTTCTCCATTGAATATAATCTTGTAGTCTGGATAGTGACAGATGCTGCCGATATACTCCATCAACCACTCGTACCTCCCAGGATCATTGAAACAAAGGATACACTTCAGATAGTCGACTAGCGCTGGGTATAACTCAGATTCGGTGGTTTCTTCATGAAGATCCTTTGCTAGTAGTGGATTTGCTAAGCTAAATGTCTCCATATCATTTGGATCATGTTCCCATTTGCAGACAGTGTTTGCAAACTTGTGGAATGGAATCGTATTGAGAAGGTCCGATAGTTTGGTGGAACGTGGCTTCTTGTTTTCAATGAACTGAATTTGCACCTTGAAGAAGTTCTTTGGGTCATCTGCCTTGATCACAGGATTATCGTTCTCTGTTGGCTTACGCTTGTAGTAGATGATATCTGATCCTGCAAAGACGTAGAACTCGTGGATGAAGTAGAGCACAAATCGTTTCAGTAAATGAAGAGACTCGAAGTTTGTAGTTTTCAGCATCTTCTCGAAAGTACTGAAATTTAGATCAAAGTCACGATTTGGCTTGTTCTCGATCACTAGATACTTCTCCGCCCAATACATAAGCTCATCGATCTCAAATGGTGTATCACCATGACTGAACGCATGTCGTCAATTGTTCGACCAGTTAATTCCACTAGCTGAGTTAGTTTTGCCAACTTCCGCTCAGATTTGAATGTCAATTCGAAATCACGATCAAGTGTAGAAAGCTCAAACGTCTTCGAAATAGATG